CTGATTTATTCCCAGTTAAAAATATAATGCCAAATTGTTATTGGTAACATCTTTAAGACAAAATATTTTTATACCAGTATAAAATGTACACAAAATAGTGTTTGAAATACCACAAATATGAAACAATAAAATACTTTTATAACTATTTTATTAATGTGTAACTTGAAACAAATTTGTTTTAAAAATGATTTTAGTATCGGTAATAAAAGTATCATATAGGTGTTTTATAATTACTCTTATTATAGGTCTATAGCAGTAGTAAAGAAGTCGTATAGCTGTCACTCACGATCATTATAAGCATTTTAATACGACAGATATATTTTATAAAGTGGTCCGTTTTCGCGTTTTTAAGTGTATTATAATTGCCTATCAGATAACTCTAAGAATTTGTATACGAATAAAATGTCTTACGATACTGCTATATAGCAGTATATAAAACACTAATAAACATATTTGTGTTGGTTGGGAGTAGACACTGATGGTGAAATAAAACGAAAAATATTGAGGGAAAATCTAGAAATCTGAAGGAAAAAAAAAATACAAAGTGAAAATCGACTTGCCTGTCTAGCTATCTGCCAGAGAAGAGGTCTTCTAGAAACCCCTTTTCTTTTAGGAAAAGCAGTCTTGTGTTTTTTATACTTAAGTGCAATGTGACCATCCGACCAATCAGACGACAACACTCAACACACACAAAAGATATCGGGTCTTCAAAAAAAAAAACAATCAAAGATTGCTATGGTTTTTTAAACGTATGTCTTAGCAATATTTTTCTTTAATTTTGTCAATGACCTTTAATGTCAAAATATCATGTCAAAAATTCTAACCAATGGAGAAACAGGAATGCGACGTACGTTTTCGTAACCAAAGCAATCTTTGATTGTTTTTTTTTTGAAGACCCGATACCTTATTCACTTCATTAATGAAACACCACCCTGATCAAATGGGAATAGATAAAAACACACTAGAATTACTTTAACACGTTCTTTGCCAAAGTGTTTTGAAGGATTTGGTAACCCTGCGCCAAGATATTTTTTTATCCAACCAAAAGATGTTTTAAAAATAAAAGAAACATGTTTTAACATTTTATGTTATCAAAAATAGAAAAAAAAAATGATTTTTTGAACTTTCGGTCAAAATGACCGACGCGGCGTGGAGGGTTTTAATTTGACCGAATTGATCGTTGTACGCAGCGTCGTCGGTCACGATTTCGGTTCTAGTTTAGTGTTCAGGAAGTAGTATTTTTATTACATATTGAAATAAGGCATGGATGAATTTACTGGTTCCCAATAGTACAAATTTTTTTTCTCTTTTTGGGGATTTCATTCACTGGAAATTATGTCTCTGCTGAACTAAAAAAAAAATGAAAATTTAGCGACCGGACGTCTCTTATGGCCGTTTCCACCAACTATTTTAGGGAAGCCTTAACGATAAGTATTCCCTAAACTGACATGTCTCCATGGAAAACTGTCAGTTTAGGGAATACTTATCGTTAGGGCTTCCCTAGAATAGTTGGTGGAAACGGCCATTAGGCATATGGAAAATTCACTTTCCTTTTGCAGCGGCCGGAAAATATATTTTAACAGCTGACCGGCTTATGGGACTTTTTTTTTCTGGTTCCTAAACATATCAAATTTGATTCTGTCGAATGTCATAAGCGAGAAAACGATCAGCAACCGAATATTCTTTTACATTGCGCCCTTATTTCAACTCATTCATACGTGCAAATCTTATGCCTTTGGTTTTTCGCTATTAAGGCCGCGCTCTCTACGAGTGAGAGGTGTCCACATCGACGAGCAACAGAGATGGGTTATTTCGCATTTTTACAGTCCAGTCGGTGTCGCCCCGACCGCAAAATTTATTAAATTCATTTTTATTCGAATTACAATACATTTCGTTTTACCTTTAAATGCTAAACTCAGGGTTGGACTTTGTCGTAGGTGTTGATGTTTTTTTTAAGGCATTTTAGCGAGTTACGTTTTTTTTTTTATGTTACTGTTGTTTTCTATAGAAATAATATAAGTTTAGATGGGAACATGTTTATTTTACTAGTAGGAAATATTTTAGCGTTTTATCAGTGCAATTTTTAAAGAATATCAATATGGCAAAAAATAGAATAAAAATCAAGAATGCTTGTTTTAATTTTTTTTTTTTTAATGGATTGCAAAATATCAGTTCAAATTGTTAAATTTTACTTGTTAGAACATTCAAGGACAATAAAAATGCAACTTGCATTTAATAATAAAGCTTTTATTGCCAAAAAATTACAATCTACGATTTGCTAAAGAAGTTTGTAGGTACCGATGTCTTTCCATTTTCCAAGCCATTCTGACGTTATTGCTTGAGCTAGAATTCTCAAATCTGGAATAGTTGTCCTTCAGGATATTGGCTAGTAATGAAAGTGTTGCCAAATATACAGGGTGTATATTTTAAGCGATACCACTATTGCTATATCCGAAACGGTAAGAGCTACAAGGTCGGTTAAATTAGAAAAAAGTTGCCTTTTTTGATGCCCATTCAAGACTTGTTTACAGTGTTGCCAAATTTCTTTTAGTTCATAAAATACAGGGTGATTTCCAAAAAACGCCCAAAACTATTTCATCAATTATTTCGAAAACTATTGATATTCGAGACAAAATTTAAATTTGAGAGTTTTATAATTTTTTTTGCTCTACATCATGGCAGCTTCAAATTTTAAATCCGACGTTTCGTGATCGGGCTACCATCATCAACTTCATTTTTTTAAATACGGACCTGGATTTTTTATGCCATTTTTAGAAAGGGAATAAAGAGCACTTTCTAAAAATGACATAAAAAATCCAGGTCTGTATTTAAAAAAATGAAGTTGGTGAGGGTACCTCGATTACGAAGGGTCGAATTCAAAATTTGAAAATGCCATGTTGTAGAGCAAAATAAATAATAAAACTTTCCAATTTGAATTGTGTCTTGAATATCAATAGTTTTTAAAATAATTAAGGAAATAATTTCGCTCGTTTTTTAGAAATCACCCTGTATTTCATAACCTAAAAAGAATTTGGCAATACTGTGAACAATTCTGGAATGGGCAGCAAAAAAGGCAACTTTTTTATAATCTAACCAACATTGCAGCTCTTACCGTTTCGAATATAGCAATGGTGGTATCACTTAAAATATACACCCTGTATATATTTTTTTCAGTTGAAAATGCCAAGAAATTGAAATTGACCACTAAAAAAAAAGTGCCCATTTTTCTTCCAGTTATCTGGTGTGGCGGAAACAAATAAATATTTTTTGTAGTAATTTTACATCATACACATTCTTTAAATGATTTTTATTTTTTTGTTAATATGACAAACAATTTTAATCACATTGCCTGGCAGAGGCAGGCCTATCAACTAGTAATTTATAATTTGTATAGACCTATGGACAAACTTTTTAATTTAGTAAAGAAGAAGAACTAGTAATTTATAATTTGTATAGACCTATGGACAACAGATCACGTTTCTGTAGCAGAGAAAAAACTACTTCTTTTTATTTTTTATTTTTTGGGCTTCCAATATAAATGGAGGGTCCAAACATTTCAATTCTCTGGACCTTCTATTTAAAATAATTTCAGGTGCGACGCATTCTAGGTAAAACCTTTTCAGTTTTGGAAGCATTATGGTTTCCCATAAAACCTTATCCTTTCTTATTTGTTGTATGAAAATTTCATTTTTGGCGCCAGTGTAAACAATGAAGTAGCATAATTTGGCCTCAGTAATGGCTAATTGACCTTGTATCTGAAAAAGAGATTTGGTCAAAAAATTTCTATACCGTGTGTTACAAATTCGAGTGTGTGCATGGGGATCTCGGAAACCATAAGAGATATGAGCTCCGGTTGATTAGGCAAAGTTGCGCAATTTTATGCTTAACAAAATACGGTTTTGAAAAGTTAAAAATTCCGAATAGTTTCGGAAATATACGGAATAAACCGAAATTTCACAAAAGCATTTTTATTTTTTCCTGAGCTTATTTGAAGAAATATCCCAAAATAAATGTCACTTCATCATTTCCACTTTTTTTCCACTACAAGATGCTACCGTCAAATTTGAAATCTGACGTTTCGTCTTTGGGCCACCATCATCAAGTTTATTTTTTTGAATACGAGCATGGATTTTTTATTCCAGATTTTAAAAGCTTCTGATGTCCCAAATTTATTCGAAAAAATATTATTTTTATTTTTTAGTAATTTCTTACCAAAATTCTTTTATCTGTCTCTCTCTAACACATTAAGTTCTTATGGAAAGTGCCAATAATAAAATGACAAAGACGAAGCAACCCCATGCACACACTCGAATTTGTATCACCCACAAAATTGAAAACGACAACAATTATTTAATCAGACATATTCGGCATGTATAGGGAGCCAAATCGATCTATACATACAGTGTGATTTATGTGTAGCCCGAGCAGGTGGATTAAATGCTACCTCTATTAATCCACCTGTAATACAATTTAATTTAATGCACGGGCTACGACAATCACGGTGTATATGAAAAACTGTATGCACTTCTTCTTTTATTGATTTATCTTTTTTTTTCTCACTTTACGCACTATTCAGAAAATGTAAAATTTTACTTCACACACTAGTGCGTAAAGTAATGTCAATGACAGATGTCAACACTGTCAATTTGGCATTTTTCTGGTAAATTACTTCACGCACTAGTGCGTAAAGTGAAAATTCTTCACGCACTAGTGCGTAAAGTATTTGTTCAAATTTATTTTTTTACACATATTTGATTGGTAGTAGAAAAAATAATTTTGTATGCAATACGTGCGTAAAGCACCTTTTTTCACTCATGTGATTGTCGCACTCGCCTTCGGCTCGTGCGTCAAAATTCACATTCGTGAAAAAAGGTTCACTTTACACACTTGTTGCATAAATAACTATTTTTGCTAACAAAAAACATCACGACACTTCAAAGTTTAAAAAAATCGTTGATATTACTGGTCCCAATTTTATTTTTGTTCCTAAACTGAAAAAGTTATGTTATTGAATAAGTACCTACCTGATAATAATAATTGTGGTTTTCCTTTATTTTTATATCATTTTCACTATTCATGGCTAAGTAAACTAGATCCTTATCTCTTACCGCCGAACTTAAGGTTTTTCCTGAGGTTGCCACCTTCAGACTGCATTTAACTTCAACAATCTCATCATCATTTATTATTCCTGAAATAAGATACCTGATTAATAAAAAATGCTTAGCCAATAGTGGGAAAATAAATCAAAAAAACTTATTGATCTCGACATACCATCAGGTGAAGCGGCTAAGAAACCATCTAATAAATCTATATATAATCCAGCAGGATCTACATTTTTCCCAGTTTTCTCAGAAAAAATGTTTATAGCAACTGCTTCATTGTTTTTTCCATAAGCAGTACTGGGAGTGCTAAATGGCTTACGGCTCAATAGTCTTTTGACCAGATTATCGCAAGGTGTATGTTCTTTTCTTTTAATAACTGCTCCAAAATTTGACGCTGTTAGTCGAAACATTTTTTCTGTCAAATATTTTGAATTAGAAAACTGGCCGATTGTCTCTGTAGCGATTTTTTGTTGCTGTTCAAAGTTTACCTAAAATATTTATAATTTTTTTCATGTTAAAAGCATGTGTATAAGGCACCTCGTCTTTTGTTTACCTGTAATCTCAGGCGTAAATTTTCTATTTCATTTTTCAGTTCGTTTTCTGATAAATTGACTTCAGCTATATTTGGACCATACTCCTTTGTTTTTTCATCAGTGAATTTCAATTTTTTTTTTTTCAATGGAACATTTTCATTATTACTTTTTCTTTTTAAATTCGCTCTTTCCTGGTTTGACATAAATTTTTTCAGCTGTTTACCAGGACTTCTGTTAAAAACTGTTTTCCAAGGCTTTTCATGCCACCTGTATCCATAATTGTATTTCAATCCCGTTATATGAGACCTCATCTGAAATGAATCCCTCTGTATAAGATTCAGTCTTTTCCCCATATTAAATCGAGCTAAAAGGCTCATGAAAAGTTCTGCTCTATTATTTGTTTCCTTGTCCAATAGTAGATGGGCTTTTGTTGTTAATTGTTGTATAGAAGCCAATACGTGATGGTGAAGTCCAGACTCTGTGGCAACTTGGCTTCTATCTTTGGATACATCCCCAATATTTGTGCACAAGTAGGGCTTGCATGCTGCATGGTTACCAAAAACATGATAAAATGTATTTCTTATGTCTGATTTTAAGCTGTCAGCATCATGCACATTTGCGTAGATAGCACATTGCACTCCTGAGGTAAGCTCTTCCATTATTTCCTTTGTAAGGAGTTTCCTTGCAGAAAGAGGCACTCCTTTGGTATCGCTTTTTATCTTATTCAATGATTTGCCAAAATTTTTTAATACATGATTTGTGCATTCAGACTTCTGTACCTAAAATTGATAAAATGCATTAGTTGAATAATAAATAGGCGATAATAAAGAAGGTTTACAAAAGTGAATATTCACCTCCAACCCATAGGTAACCCTTTCTCTGATTCTTGCAAAAATAGTTGAATCACCATCTGCTATAAACTTTGAATATTTAAGTCCATGAGTATCTATACTCGAGTTGAATGCTTCTACAATTATATCAGCTTCCATCGCACTGGATGATCCACTCCAGTTTTTGAAACATACATGTCCTACAATATCTTTTCCTTTATTAGAATACTTTGCACAAATGGAACAATATTTGTTTCTGACTCCAACAAACAGAAGTTTTCCACTGATTTTGCCAATGACAACAGCCTAAAATAATAATATATTATATTTGGATTGTCAATATTCAAAAGAACTATATTTTTTAAACTAGCAGAAACCCAATGAACTATTTAAAATAATAATGTATGCATTTACTAACCACCCCAGAACATGCATTGTAGGTATGCCCATAGCTTCTCTTAGACCATCCTCCATCCAATAATACTGTTATAAATGGGACACCATTCTCATCAATATCACCTCTTTCAATGGCCATTTCTTTTTCTTCTACTGCGGCCTCTTCTATTGCAATGATCAAAGAATCTTGCCATACCTAAAACAAAATAAAGAGAAATATATAGAACTTCGTTTTCTTTTATCCTTCATTTTTATCATCTGATTCCATGCATCTTTTTTCGCAGTAGGTACTTACTCCACTTAGTTGCCTCTGAATTTTGTAAAAGAGGCTGTTTGATTGCCCAGGAATATCCATTATGCTCAAAAACTCTGAAGTATGAGTATGAGTACTTCCAGTAGCTATTGTAGCCCATACTACGGCTTTATTTAACACTGACGCCTCATGACCAGGATTTTCGTTCGAAATCTTGATTTCTTTACCACACATATTACATTTCAAAACAAAATCACTCTTTAAGCCCACGCGTATTTCCTTCTGAAAAAGTAAGTTACCCCCTGTGCAGTGTTTGCTGTGGCGCTGTTGAGCAGTTATTGTTGTTTTTAAAAAGTAATCAATTTCGACAACTCGACATCCATTGAGAACATTATTGTCTTGAGCTACTTCTTGATCTATATTATGAGCGTCAATCCTAAAATAGATATATCATAATGACGATCATTATGGTACTAGCCGTGGATGTTATCAGACGAGGCGTCAGCCGAGTCTGATAACACGGCGTGTGCCATAATGATTGTTTATGATCCGAATTTCATACAATATTTTATATTCCGGCGATTATAGTCAATACATTTTTCTGTCGCAGTTTATCGGAAATGATTGAAAAAGGCTAATTTCAGTAATGTGCTTGACAACTGGTAGCAACGGAATTGTATGTTTGTATTGTCATATTGTCAATGTTGAATTCACTGAAATGTTCATCAAACATTAAAAAATGAATAATTCCATGATGAATTACCCCCAAAATGGAAAATTTGGCTGATAATGTAGTTGCTGGTCTAATACCTGAAAAGTCTAGAAGCGTGTATGAAAAAACCTAGGAATGCTATACCTATATATTTTTTTTAATTATAGTACTCAGTGCTATAATGAAATCATCATAGTACTCAGGACTATAATGAAATCATTATAGTACTCAATCCAATAAAGTATGTCATTATGACACGCCGGAATATAAAATAAATTATATTATACTTACCAAATAGAAAGAAATAAGTCGTTTGATATTATCAAGAACGATAAAAACTGAACCTATTATGTGTTAATTAAAATACATATTAACAAATAGATCAACCATATGACTTACTTTTCACATTCTTTTTTGTACTCTGGGTCAGTGAAAAAACCATACTCTTCATCAATACTGGGGGAAGAGCTGTCAGCTCGGTGCACTGGAGAAAGATACTTGCTGCAGGTTGGTTTAGGATCCACAATATTTTCTTTTTCTTCACTCCAAACAAAAACATCTTCTAAAATTTTACTGATCATTTCTTGGACAATTGCAACAGTTTCTTTGTGCAAATGAGCCTTTCTTGCAGCCCTGGCGCGAGCATTTCGTTTTTTGTTTCTCAAACCCAGTCTTATCCTTTTAGGAAACATTCTATGAAGCAAAAACTCTAGAAAAAAGCATTATAGGTATCTACTAATATGAAAATCGTTTTTTAGACCAATTATTATTGATGATGCTAATATACACGGTAAAATAAATTCATTACCTACCTATTAGAAAGCCTGTATATTTGCTAGAAAAAGACAAAATATAAACTGCGAATTTGAACACCACAAAATATCTAGAACAGAATAATAAGTATTCACTTCTCCCAAATCCGAAATAAAGTGACCATTGGAATGCGGCAGAGCAAGTAAATACCTATCTATATATATATTTTTTTTTATCAACAAGAGGTTCACTTTTTTATTAGTACCTATAAAGACAGTCTGTGCTGGCATCTTTGAAATTAAATTATTTTCAATTTGTTTATAATTTATTTGATGCCTGATACACGAATTCTCAAATTCAGAAATAATTAGGTACCTACTTTAACGTTACAAATGAGGCTTGATCCACATTCCACAAAAATACTGAAAATATTCAACAATTTTAGCTGTAAAAAAAATTGTGTAGAAAAATATGTTGTTTTTATTTTTTTCTCACACTTTTCAAATCACCGAAATGCAAAAGGTGCCAAACTAAAAATTAAGGGACCCGTTTTTTAAATTTTTCCAACAAATAAACAGGCTTCCCAAGTACTACTGAATTTCCATAGGTCTGTTTCTGCAGAAATTACGAACTAGTCAGAGCAAATTTCATTGGTTGAAAACAGTCAGAAAACTGGTTTCAACCAATGAAATTCACTCTAACTGGTTTGTGATTTCTGCAGAAACAGACCTCATAAATATACTTACCTACGTTATATTATAAACTTTACCTACTGTCGTATTATAAACTTATTTCTTTAAGTTGGTGTATCTATGATAATTTTTGACGCCGGAAGCTATTCACAACAATCACAACCACACGACTAGGACAGAAGTAAGATCAAGGAGTTTTTTTGGCTGCTTTGCTTTGGATCTCGCTACCCAAAGTCCGACCCTGAATTTCGATTCACGAACGCCATCTAATAAAATATGCTCCAACCTGGCTATTGATCGTTATCTGCAACTTTTTTGATTTATTGATCTAACGCGAGCAGTACGAGTAGTTAGATCGACCCATCTCTTTTCCACGTGTACAACTCTGCTATTTAGCTATTTCACAGAGGATTAGCATAAAATGAAACAATTACGGTCTTAGAAAATTTTACTAAACAATTATTTTGTCCATTTAAAAATAAAATATTATATTTTAGGACAAAATGGAATGATCAGCTCGAAGTGCATCATATCCATATGTTATTAAAGCAGTTTAAATGAAAACAATCATTCAGGTGACTTGAAATATGCATTTTAAGACCCGATTAGCAACGTTAAAATAAGGGTATTTTTGAAGCCCTAGATCATGTCCTAAATCTTCAAATTTGTAGCTTTAATTGCTTTATTGTACTAATCTACCATTACTTAACACAATTATTTCCTGAGCTCAGTGATACATTCTCTAGTTTTTTTTTGAATGGACAAACTAGCTCGACGTGCAGGCATAGGAAAATTGCATTGGCGGAGGGCGCCCTTAAATTGTTATATAATATCAATGCCATGAAAAGAAAGTGAAAAAATAACCTTTTTTTTTCTGCACAAGGAAAATAAATTTTTCATATGCCTATAAGCAGACGTCCGGTTCCTAAATTTTCATTTTTTGAGCTCAACACTGACATAATTTTCAGTGGTTGAAATCCGCGAAGAGAGAAAATTGGTTAGCAAAATCTGTCATTAGCTGAGAGTCTGATATAAAAACTCGTCGCCAATTTTCAAATGGACGTTTATACAGGGTAATTCTGAATATAGGGATCATAAACCCCTAGGATAAATAATACTCATTCAAATAAAAATAAGTTTAATAGAAACATAGGTCCGCAAATGCTTAGTTTTCGAGATACGGGGTATCAAAGGTCGAAAAACGTCAGTTTTACAAAATCCGTTTCCCGAATTTTTTTATACTTGGCAGGTTTATTTTCAATAACCAAAAGTCATCTTTTGACTCAATTCGATTTACCGTAACTATTCGAGTGGCGCCCCTGAAGGTAACTACTTTGGTGAAAGTTGAAAAAAAATGGCACACTATTTTTTTATAACTTTATAAAAAAACCTGCCAAGTTTAAAAAAAAAAATCGGGATAGAGATTTTTGAGCTAAAAAAAACGATTTTTTTCTCAAACTTTGACACCCTGAAGTCGAAAACTAAGCATTTACGTGTTGGATAAACTGATATTTATATCAGTGAAACAAAGATTAATAAATTAAACTTTGATTATTAGCCTATACTTTGCTAATTTATATCGCAGCTATGGATGACTGAATGTGTTTATAATAGTTTTTATATGTAAGATAAACAGATGAGGAATCGTTTACTTAAGAAAGGGTTTTGTAATTCTTTGTCTTGATGTTGAGTTAGTTTGTATAGTTATTTCTATGCGTTCATACGCTCTGCTTTCCACGCTGTGTTCGATATAATAAATATATTGAATATCGATAATTAACAAGTTCTTTTATTTCTTATGCCCGATTGCACCGTCTCTCTTAACCAAGGCTTAGAGATAACTATTCCTTAAAGTGACATTTTCCCATGCAAAACTGTCAATTTAAGGGATAGTTATCGTTAAGCCTCAGTTAAGAGAGACGTTGCAATCGGGCATTAGTCCATTTCCCAACAGGTTATGGGACCAGTGTACGTGTATTCATTGCGGTTGTGAAAACCGGAAGTGTTTAATGTGACAATGGAAAATTTGAAACTAAAAAGAAACAAAAGGCTTTATGCTAACAGAGCTTGAACTTAGATAAGAACATCAGAGCTCAGCAATTTAGAAATAATTATCGTTGAGCATATTTTAAAATCGATTTTAAAAGACGCAATTTCGAAAAAAAAAAAACAAGTCTCTGAAACACAATGAAAAAAAAGTGAAACAAAACAATTCCATCAATAAAAAAAAATAAAAAAAAATGGAACCCTTATAACAGTAACCAAAAAGGGCACAATTAGTATTCCCAGTAATATGGGCATACAGGAAAGTCTTTTGGCTGTCCGTAAGAAAAATGCAAAGGGTATATATTGTTAAAAAAAAAAGTAGTAGTATTTACAAAGGCGGTAAGCTTATAATTTATGGGTAAGTCTTTGAACACTTTAATAATAATTGCTCTTGAACTCACTGTTATTGGAAATTTAAAAAAAAAACACTATTATTCAAGCAAATAGTGACGATTAAATAAAAAACAAAAATTATCAATTGTGGTTTCAACGTTTGGTCCACATTGGTGAGGTTTAAATTATTAAATTATTATAAAAAAAAAAAAAAAATAGAGATCGAGGACTTAGGGCGCAAATCGATCAGGTTATTATTATTATTATTATTATTATTATTATTATTATTATTATTATTATTATTATTATTATTATTATTATTATTATTATTATTATTATTATTATTATTATTATTATTATTATTATTATTATTATTATTATTATTATTATTATATAGCATTTATTGTTCAATTTTTCATGTAATACAAGAAATTTTGCACATGCACAATAAATACAGTAAGCCCACAAGAGTAAACTCGCGCGTGGGCGTTAAGGAACCTAAAGTACATAAGCTATAAAGTCTGGAGAAAAATGATTAATACCATAAAACTATACTAAAATAAAAATATGACAAAATTTTTGTTATACACACATACCCAATGTATCTATTATTATACTACCATAATTATATTATATCATACATTGCTATAATTATAATCGTTTTTTTCGTCAAGTAATTGGTAAATTTCATTTCTATT